TAAGGCGCATTGCGTTACAGGGTTGACCCTTTTACCATAAATGTGTACCTCTCGATTTTTTTCTTTCAATGTACATACTATTAACTTGACACATGTATCCATTTCTTACGATCAGTATATCACGTATACCCTGTCATTCGATCAATTCGTCAGAACAAATTTTAGATTTAAGTTAAAAAATATTTTATTTTTGATTGATAAAAAAGAAATTGCGTATGATCAGCGGTAATTGTGCAATAATAAAATGTTTTCAACGCTTTCGTTTACGCGGGCAGCAAATCTACGAAAACATTCCCGCAGGGAAATTATTGTATTACGTTCTTGTTTTAATTAATTACACTTCTTCCTTTGATTGATTCATATCGTCTCTTTTTCTTTAATGTACAAACAGAATTCAAAGCATAATAATAATAATAATAAGAATAATAACAATAATAATAGTAACGATAATTGTAGAAAATATCGTAAATAACATTATAACTTAGTTTATGGTGAAAATGAAAGGTGCATAAAATCACACACACAGACGCGCGCGCGCGCATATATATTTCCCCTTTTTTTTTAATAATAGTAATAATAAAAAAAAAGATAAACGAAATGTACGTAACGAGCCACACGCTTCGATTCTAACGAGAGTCTTCACAAGTCTGATGGGATTATTTATTTGACTAGGATAACAAGATTTTTTCGGAACGGGAAGCATGTACATAAATAACACACTCAACTGTCCTTCAGTTTTCCTACAAACTAAGTGACGAAATGAATTAAAAAAAATTCTATATACATATATATAGAGATACGAAATAAAAAGAGGAAAAGAAAAATGATTGGGAGAGAGAAAAGCACATATTTAAAATTCGGGAGAAGTTAAGTCATAAATAGAATTATAATTAAAAATATAGCTAATATACTTGTAAGAGCACTTTGCTTGTACTGTTGCAATTCTCGACTTGCATGTGTACAGCTATGTACATTTTTATATATAATGAAGGCACGAGCATTTTCGCGTGCTCCTGTCGAATAAGTAAAGTTATTGAATAAAATTACATGTGTTCTTTTTCCATCACTCTTATACTACAATATATGTATGTATACGCCTTTTGTTAAGTACAATTATAATACCTCAGAGTAAGTTGTGTGTCAAGATAATTGTACAGTATGGGATGACCTATTCTTAGTATACAGAATGACACAACAATTAATGATAATGGTAATTTTTACAGAATCCACAAAAGAAAAGAAACAACAAAAGAAAGAAAAAAAAAAAAACAGAACCGATAGAGTGTTACACGCTGCTTTGCCCCATCGTCACATTGTCCAGATTCTTCTTTATGCTTTCCAACTCATTCATATCGCTCACCGAGGACTCGCATTTGTACACCACCAACGAGTGATAAAAGTGTACGGCGAATGCGATGAACACTATGAGGACAGGTATCACTATGATGGTGCTGGCAGTGGCTGCAGTAAACGAGTAATCCCAGAACTTCACCCAGCACAGTATGGCAACCTCCACGAGGAAGAGGAACAGCCCTAACACCGTGGAAAATGCCCAAGCCAGTTCGATGAAGCCACGCATTCTTTCATGAGGAGACTCCGTGACGAGTCGAGACACTTGAAGCTTACTGATGGCCTCGATATTAGGCAATAAATACGTGCTTATCATTAAAGCAAAGATGTGAACTGATACTAGGACCGTCGTGCAAACAGCGAACATTACAAACAACCATTCAGGCACCGCGGTTGGTTCGTTTATTTGTAACTCGACCATAGCCACCTGAAATGATAAAAAGAAAAACACGAGAATGTGAGCTATGCCTGATAGAATGTTAATACCCTACAATAAAGAGGTAGATATTTCTGAGAAGCAACGCGAGTTAATTTGTACGGTGGATTTATACGTTTGTTTTTGCTCGAAAAGAGAAGAATCTTGAGAGATTTGGGAGATGGTGGCGAGGTACTCTTGTAAAATCGATTGTCAGTGTCACGAACGGCGAGACTTATTGTTAAAGAAAGTGATATTTGTCTTATATAATCGTAGATCAGGTGAAGATTACACAGAATTGTCGTCCACGTCTGTTTAATGATTTTCAGGAAACGTTGTGTAATGCACCGCGAGTTTTCTGGTTATACAAACACAGATTTTCTTGGAAAATTAACTGGCCGTTCCAAGTGCAATGCGCATCGATGATGATGCTTTTTTTCTTTTTCTTTTTTATTTATTTATTTTTTATTTATTTATCTATGTTTTTTAATCTTTAATGCCAGCTGAATTTTTCAGCACGTCTACCTCTCTATGAAAATTAACCGCGTAATCGCCGACAAGCATCGACGATTAGATCATTAAAAGGAACACGCATCGCCGCTTTAGCAGGACAATCGATCATCTTCAAGCGTACTGCCATAAGAGGAATTCCAAGTGGACAATAAAATATTGCCGCGACAGACATCCCACTGGAAAACAAGTTACTCACCATCGCGAATCCACTCAACAGTTCCGACGTGGTCGCTGTCGCTTTTAATTTAGCTCTACTCATGTGAAGTCTCCTCCAAGAGAGACCTTCAGGACCATCTTGTTCTTCTGTGTGATGAGAAGAAGACGTCGGTGGCACAGGTGATCCCACACAAGTGCAACAGCATGTGTACGATGCATTATTCGCTGAGATATGACTGTTTGAAAACGGAAGGCTACCCATCGATCTCATATCTAACGCTACATAACGATTGTGTCTGTTCCTTGGCGATAGAACAAGCTCACTTTGAACCGGGTATAAAGGACTCTTCGAATTGTAACAAGAACTAGACTCGCTCATTTGTGACTGCTTAGGAAAATATGCTAAAGAAGTTGGTCTTATTCTCTGGTTACCGTGAGAGAATTGCGTGAAGTCAATCTGAGTAGATTTGCTACATTTCCCTGATAATTCTTCGTTACTCCTATACATAGACATCGTGTTACTTTTTCCATATTTTTCACCAGATGCTTTTTCATCTTGAATTAAAATACTGCTCCTGCTGGAGGTGTCTTTCTCTACCATCGAGCTTAAATTATTATTCGACATAATTCCTCCGTCGAGATCTATCAGTTAAAGGAGTCAAAGAATAGCGGCAAGGTTGTCAGAAACCTCCGACGTTACCATTGTTTCCCTTCCAGAGGATTGAGTCACTGCACACGTTTACACAATCACCGTGCCGCCGATTATCATATGTTTCAATTCCTCCACCGCATTCCGTTGCTCTTCTTTTCGACGATTATCGTCAAAATGTTACAATTCGAAGAACACGTACCACCAAATCGCGACCATACTCATATCGACAGTTTTAACGTGTACTCTCCAACGGCACTGAATGTCAGTTGCGTTCACTTTCGGGGTGCCAAGCGACCGTACATTTCTCGAGACGTTATTTTCGAGAGACCGTTTAGGCGCGCGTGGAATGGTACTCGTTCCGCGGGAGCGGAAGCGAACTGCCGCGAGTCTTTACGGTAGAACACTGAACCGCCGCTTGTTGCATCGAGCCGCACATCACGTTACCCGTCTCTCTCTCTCTCTTCTCTTCTTTCCATCTCTCTCTTTCTCTCTGTGTGCCTCTTCTGAATCATAACAATAGTATTAATTGCCTTGAAGCCATATCGGCCACATAATAACCGGCTACACGGCCACCACCAGCGTGTATATTTGTTGCGGACCGCTCTGCGTGTCTCGATGTCTCGCCTCTCTCACGTGTCCACGCCGAGAGATGCGACCGCGGCCAATGACGCTTGTTTCCTTGCCTTCACGGTGAACAGATAATACCAATCTGACGCCAGGTAGATAGGTAGACCCTGTGTAATTATTAATACGATTTTCGAAAGGGAAATCCCTCGATCGAACTACAAGTTTGTGTGTACATAAACTTCCATTCACAAGTATTAGGATACATTGTGAGTATGAAGCAAACATAAACAGTCGTTACGAAGTTATTAAGATCCTAAGAACGATTGTTCAGTTTGGTATCTCGTAGTATTACGAAAGTGGCCCAAGTCAGATGTTTTTCGTTTCGAGATATTTAGAATTTTCCCTTTAGGTTTATTACGAAATATTTTTTCATTGTGTAACGAAATATTTCACTAAATACTCTTCTGTGAAAAGATCGGTGCAATACGATATAAGTGATAAACTCTATTTTGGGGTTTTTCTTTACTTATACCAGTTTCATAAGCATTGGCACATATATTTTTACCGATATGTGATATGTGATAAAAGATGTAATTTGAATCGTATAATACTTTCTGTACGAATATAATGGGTGTCCTTTCCACTGGTTTTGATCACACAAAAGTTTAAGCTTCTCTACTTTTTTTCATCCAATTCGTTGGATGATCGTCTTAGTATAGAAGAGTAGATTCTGTTTCACATGTGGATCTATTTTTCCGATAAATGGCATTTTATTTACATTCCACCGCTTATGTTTTTAAATTCGATGAAATGTGATATCTTGTGTAATCATATTAGAACTGTGTCAGTTTTGATATCGCTAAACGATTATCAGTGAAAAAACTCCTTAATCACACATGCGACAATATTCTCACTTTAACTCGGTTCATCGTGGATCAAGCGTGTTTTCTTAACTACACGAAAGTTTGTGTATCTATTCATGTATCATCGCTATCAGTGCAACATGAATCTTTTCCTCCGAAGTATAAAGTGATTTAATATCACTTCTAAAGACAATTGCAATTACCGTTATCGATTCATTCACGCGACATAAATTATATAACTCTCTTGCAGAGATTTTTCAATGTAAACACGTATATGTATAATCGTTAAGATCGTTCCTCGATTCTCGATGCTTCACTTTCGAGTGTACCGTTATGGCTGGTTTATTTTTTCTCCTCTTTAAAAAAAATTTCACATTCAGTCCGAGGACTCAAGGAATCGTGCGTATCTGGAATCACAAGCATCAGAGTGCAGTTCGTGTTTACACACGACATGAACGTTCTTTCCTCGCGTGTATCCGCATTCAGATAAGCGGATTCGTGATGAACTGACTTCATTGAAGCATTAGGAATCGTCCGTGGAAAAACCACTTTCAATTCGTAACCGTGCAACGTTATTTACAAGTTACTTATTAAAGACCGCCCAGCTCTGAGCTCGATCACGTGTCATTCATCCGCGAGTTTATAACTCGCTCAGATTACGGATGCTTTAATTTCATTGCTCGTTAACGATAATTGAAAGAAAGGATCGTTTATGCTGAACGGACAGTTTACACATTTGAAACCGCTGTCACTTGTGCATTTATTTTTGTTTATATTCCATACGGTCAAGACTCGTTTCAAGGAGGCGCATACGAATGTATGCCATCGACGATTTACAGCAAAAGTTTTATCTGTTCGTTGCCTCATTTGCATACGCAATTGTACGTTCGAACCGGCAACAGCTGCTCGAGCTGGGAATCCACTGGGAAAAACTGATTAGCGCGGTTTCACTTTTTTCAGACGATTAATTTTTTTACCATTTTTTTCACACATTTTTTCTAGTTAAACTTTGACCGAGAATTTAATGATTCGTGTATCTCCGTTTTTGAGGGGATATCAACTTCTTTTTTTTTTTTCTTTTTTTTTTGGTGATTTTTAAAATATCTTTCTGTATAAAAAATGAGCGAGGTTCGAGGTATTTTGGTTACCTCGATATCGACCGTGATTCTCGGAAGGATTAGGAAGGTGAAACTGGGCCCTGAATAAAATGGGAATAATGGTACAGGGAACATTTTTTCTTTTCTTTCTTTCACGTGCCGACCTTTTACAGCTAAACAGGTTTTAGACTACTATCAAATTAAAATGCAGGCGCAGCGTAGTGGAAGGTAGATTTTCGATTGTAAAATAAGGGCTCAAAATGTGCATTCTTGTATTATAAAAGTGGGTATTTCAAATGATTCAACATTTTTTTATTATCGCGAAAATAACAATGCAAAATCTTGGACCTTGGATTATATAATTTATTGTCAATACAGCACATTCATGTTTTATTTCTTACTAGAAGCATAATAAAAAATAACAATTCCAGAAAATTATGCAAATTTGTATTGTTCATCAGGCAAAATTACGACTGATTCATAGAATATAATACGGTTTGCATAATTTTCGCTTAAGAGCCTGTACAAAGGCAGCACATAATACTTTTAAACCTATGCACATGTGGTGGCCTATATCTAGGCGCCAGTGACCAAAATTATTGCGCATTTACTAGAGCGCATTATTACAATTGGACTATTCATACATTGAATCATTCAAAATGTCACAGAGTTGCTAAATTATCTCTAATATTGTACAAAACATATTACAAGATTGAAATAATATTTAAAAACATAGCCAGAACTTCATAAACTGTCAAATTTGATATTTTACAATTTTAAATGACTATAAAGTAAATATCCTAAAAATTATTCACGTGGAATTGTGTCATTTTGTGATATACACAATGTCATGCTGGTCAATTTAACTTTTTAAGAAATATATCACAGGTATTCCTACGTTTGTTTCATAGGTTCGTGCGTGTGCGAGAATATTCCAGACATTTAGGGAAGCTTGTTTTGCCGCGGATCTGGCGCGCATGCACAAACGCTCTCGTAATAGTCAACTCGTAGTTTAAAGCTTTAGAACCTAGATGTATGGTCGACTAAAGCAGCAAGTGAATGTTATTGTCTCTGTACAGTTGATCCCGTGATCTGTATATACATACGATCTCAGTGACGTTCGCGTATATTCACGGAACGGAGATACGATCACGGGGATTATCTATCGAGCGACTATTCGTTGAAATTTTTCCACGTTGTAAACGACTGTTGGATCTATCCGTGATACTGTGAGAGACGAAAACAAACAGTCAGTTCTACGCGATTCTTCTTGAACGGGTCTATTCTAGTATTATAAACCAGCGGTACAGATAAATATATCATCGCGTGTAACATTCCAGATCTGTGATCACGATAGCGCGCGTTACGTGTTGTAACACATAAGTGCGGCTGCATTTCCTGATTTGCGATACAGGCGACAAGTGAGCACAATAGAGGTTAGCGTCTGGCAAATAGTTCAAGGATTCAATATTGTGTGACGGTGTCTCGAGACGGGTTCGTGCATCATTCCTTTTTTCGAGACTTGTGCCAAAAGCGTACGTTACACAATACAAATGCTTTTGTGAAATTCCTTGCAAGTATTGCTTGTCACGACGCACAACTCGAAGACTGAAGCACGTTCTGTCGAGTTTCCCAGTGGCTCCAAATGACAGTAGACAACTTACTATTTACAAGTTTCACGTATTGATTTAAGGGAATACCGATTAAAGAGAATACTGTGATAATAGACTATATTCGTTGAAAATTTCGTTGAATTTCGTAAACGTGGTATTTACAATAAGGGAACGCTATATGCATCGTTTTGAGAAAAAAATCAAATCGAGAATATATCGTGTTGTAAATTTTCGAGGATATATTGTTGTGCTTGAGATTGTTAAACGATTGTTACTTTTAAATATGTTAGCATTATCTATGCAGTATTAAATGTATTGCCCTCCTGTGGTTCAGAATGTAATGGGAGGATCAAATCTTCATACACCTCCTTCCATATTTCAACATATGATGGGTCAGCAAAGTACTTCACAACAACCTGGGCCATGGATGCAAATGCCACAAGTGCCACCAATATCAATACCATGGAGTGTGCCATCTCTCCAGCAAACAGAGTTAGTCAGGTTCACTGGTGGACCCAGTTTTGAACCAGTTATTCATCAGAAAAGAAAACTTGAGGCCCCTGATCTGTTAGATACGTGAGTACTTCAAACATATACAATAATACATTATGTAAAAATCTTTTTGTTTGACACACTACTCAGTTCATTATTTTCACATAGAAGACAAACAAAACAGTTCATAACAGAAGAAAAAATGACTGCGCATTTCAAGGATTTGCATATTAGTTCCAATTATCAACCACAGTTTCCTGTACCATCAACTTCAACAGCTGAAACACCGCCAACTTCTCCTAAGGAATTGAATATGGAACTAGACACAGAGGCAACCAACACAGAACAGGTTAAATCAGAAAATAGAATAGTGCTTTCAGAGACAATGAGAAGACTCCAGCAAGAACCCATCCTTCCAATCTCCTTATTATCTAAACTGTGAGTTTAAAAATTCAAATACATCAAAATTTTATACTCCATTATTTTTGTAATTTTGAAAAAATAAGGATAGAATTTCTTTTAATAAATATGATGAAGCTTTACAGTTTTTGCCTTTCAGAGAGAGGCCCACCATGGCTTTAGTTCTTTGGAAACCACCAAGCAAACATCTACGTATATTGCCAACCAGGGACACACCAACTCCAATTCCAAGCACATCCGACGATAATAATAACAACAACAATAATAACAATAATAATAACGAAGCTATTTCCAATTTAAATGAAACGTTATCGAGTAATTCGTCAGTTTTCGAGCCGATGGAGTTATGAAGGTAATTCGTTAACATATTGCTTTTACATTTTCGTATATCGTTAGAAAAAATGGGAACACGATAATCGTATTCCAAATGTACGTAAATTAGAAGACAGATCAAACAAAAAAAAATCGGAAATATGTTATACCTTATATTTTTTATCTGATAGTATTGTGCTTGCTTAACATGGTAAAATAAATGGGTATGAAACCTTTCTATTAAATCAAAGTACTCTATCAGTTGGCTAATCGTAAGTTACGTTACCATTGCGACTCTTCGGTTGAAATATATTTACCATCATAACGGATAGAAATAAAAAAAAAGCAGAAGAATAATACGAACAAGTTCCTTTTCTATACTAAATATAATTTGCGTGTGTAAATTAACTGAAAGCAGAAAAAAAGACAAAAAAAGCATATATTCTTTAACAAACGCGTTCGAATGGTTTTAACATCGCTCTTAGTATTATTGTAATTATCATTAATACACAACAAGCATAATTCTACTATTGTTATTAATCTTGCGTTGTTTCTTGTGTTTTGGTGTGCATGTTGTATGTTTCTGACTGGGTTTGTAGAATAAATATGCAATGTAAAGAAAATCATAAACAACAAAAAAATGGAAAAAGAACATTGGAATGCATAGGAATGGATAAAACGTTAAAAAAAAAAATAGGTCTTGTATCAAGGTAATTTTATTTCTACATTATGTACAATGTATACAATGTAATGTTAAGGCAATTGTATGAAGAACAATTGAATTTGCCGTATGACTGGGTGACAACTTTAATCGTTTGTCATGAGTGAGTCCAATGTGTTTCTGGATGTATGAAGTTTTTGCATAAAAATATAACAACATTTCATTAATATTGAGTTCTTCATTTATTTGTTACGAATGTACAAAATAATTGTAAGTTCATTTAAAATTGTAAGTAATAATTGTTAAGTCAGGAATGAATGTTTATTCTTTTTTTCTTTTTTCTACAATTTATCATCCAGAGGTTCTCCATTGATGGCCGCTGCGATCTTCTTGTTATCCAACATTGTTACATGATTTCCTTCAACCTCGTGCACCATCACCCTTCCATGAGTTAACTAAAGAAAAACAGAAATTTATTCCATAAATATTCAAGTCAATTAGACACTAATATAAATATCAATATCTATTACCTTTCCCAAACCATAATCGTCCGAAACTTGTATACTAGATACCGTTGGTACCAACAACGTGATAGGTGTTCTAAGAGGTGGTAAGGAAGTAGGGTCGTACTTATCTATCATGTTCAAGCGTTTAAATATGAACGAAATAATCGACTTCTGAGATTCTAGTGTGTAAACCTTGCAAATTTCCTCAGGCATGTGTTTCACTGCCCTGTCCAATTTCTCGTTCCAACTGCTGCAGTTATTTAACTCTAAATTGCACTGCGAATGCGTATGAATTAGTCATCGTGTTTCGCGTGACATGAACGTTCATTGATTAATATTGAAGGTGTGATGTACCTCCAGAATAGTAGGTGACTTAACAATAGTCAATACATCAGTGAGGAATTTGTTTTGGTTCTCGTTTTGGTTGGGCGAGGTGAGGTGTTGCGTCTTTATGGCTTTCATGTAATCTGGAGATCCATCTATTAAGATGAGGTGACCTACTAGGGCGTGAGCTTCTAATCTTCTGACTAATTCTATGGCTATTAGGGATCCATATGAATAACCTACGATCACGAAGTCGCTGCGACCTTTACTCCTGGCCAAAACGTGCTAGAATAAAAAAAAATTGCATCCTTTATCCTGAAGCCTTTTAATTGTTAAAATGTGAATTTTGATTAAGATATATACAGGTGTAAGGCGATCAGTCATCTTTTCTATTGTTTCGTCTGTGTCACATATTCCCAATTGCAAGCAAGTAGCAGGTACTTTCAATTTTGGAACTAATAAGGAGAAAATTGATGCAGATCCTTCAATTCCTGGTATGAGAAAGACTTCGTTCTTTTTTTCGCCGCATTTAACTGGAAATTCCACGCAATACTGGGTGTTTAATATAGAAACATTCAAGGTCCTCATCAGTAGATTCATGCCAATCAAATTCTCTGCCTTGGTTACTGTCTTCTTCATCTGTTTCTTTTGCTGTTTGGAGTCTTTTGCAGACATCTCCACCAGTTTGGCTATGTTTAATACTCGAATATCTTGTGGAGTGAGGAAGACTTCAAAGTCTCTCTCCATAGTCTGTTTTATCTCCACAGCCATCATAGAGTCCATTCCAAGCTCAGCTAAGGAAGAACTCTGGCTCACAGTCTTCAGGTCCTTTATATCTAAATTTTAGAAGAATAATTTTTCAACGTAAAAATTCCAAAAGTGGATTAAATCAAGCATCAAAGAATACTTACTCATAATACCCATCACTGTCTCAAGAATATTGCTAGCCTCACTAGCACTGGGACGTTTCTCTGCCACTACCATACTGGCCACAATAGGCCTATTTTGACACATGAACTTATCCAATTCCTCCAAGCATGAAGATATTCTCTGAGGCAAGGTTCCACCAATCACCAACTGCTGTTTATTCTCCAACATCTCTGCAGCAAGACCAACATCTCCCACAGCTCCCCATTGAATAGCCATGCCTGGAAGACCTTCCTCCACTCTTCTCTCACAGATCCTCTCCAACACTGCATTACCCATTCCATAATTAGTCTGACCAGGAGTTCCTCTGCCACAAGAAAGAGAAGAGAAGACCACAAAGTGGTGAAGCTTTGGACAGATCTTCCTGGATAATTCATCTAACTTCTTGGTGATACTGGCTTTAGGTTTCATGCTCTCTGCAAACGACTCTTCACTCTGGTTCGTCATCAGGCAATCCTTCAACAGAGCTGCCAGGTTGAAAATGCCATCAACAGGAGCCTGTTTCTCAGCTGACTTAAGGATAAATTCACAGTCATCCGCCTTTGAAGCATCCACACCAGAAATTATGAGGATTTTAACCCCATAGGATTTCCACGTTTCGGTCCTCATACGTTGGTAGCCAGTTTTGATCCCATTTCGAGAAACTAATACAAGATTCATGGCACCACGCATAATCAACCAATCTGCAAGTTCCAAACCAAGTCCTCCTAGACCTCCTACGAGCACGTAGCTCTTATCTCTAATGGCGTTGAATCGTGGATAGGCAAGAATTGGTGCATTCAGTGGCTCCTTTTCATCTCTTACTTTTATCAAAATCTGTGAACAAAATTGGACAATATTTATTCTCAAGAAACACACTACTGCTTCAAATATTCACCTTTCCAATGTGCTTTCCTGCTGCCATAAACCTGAAAGCTTCCTCAATCTGGTTCTTTTCAAAGCATTTTCTTACCAGAGGTTTGATAGCTTTGCTATTCAATCGAGTTACCACAATATTATACATTTCCTCCTGCACGCTGGGAATAGTACCTTTGATCACACGGTCCAGCATAATTCCATGGAAGCTTATCTCCTTCAGGAAGATATCCATTCCAAGCTTATTATTGGAAATCAAATCGAATTTACCAATTTCTAGGAAACGACCTTGATAGCCCAAGCAACGGATCGAAGCTTGAAGCTTGTCTTCGGCCAAAGAATTAAGAACAATATCCACTCCTTTACCATGGGTCTGTTTCATCACCATTTGCTCAAAACTCGTGTCACGAGAATTGCCAATGTGGTCATCGTCTATGCTAGGGAAGTTTTCCCTGATGAATTTCCGTTTCTCTGGTGTACCTACAGTGGTGAAGACCTCACAGCCTTCATCAAGTGCTACGTTGATGGCAGCTTGGCCCACGGCTCCACTTCCAACGTGGATCAACACCTTCTCGCCTTTCTTCAATTTTCCAAATTTGAAGAAGGCGCAGAAAACAGTGATATAGGCGGAAGGAATGGTGGCTGCGTCTTCCAAGGACCAATTTTCAGGCACAGGCCATAGAGAGAACTTAGACGCAGTGCATAGGTTGGATATACCTCTGAAGAACAGTTAATCGATCAGATTTATGGAGGAACAATTTTCTGAAATGTGATTATTACCTGTTCTGAACGAAGCCCATCACTTTGCGTCCTTTAGAGTCGATTCCACTGAACTCGAAACCAATCTGACATTCTCTGTTAAATCTGTCAGCCTCAATAGCCTCTGGCATTAATTTACCAGTGGCCAGCATCACGTCTCTGAAATTTAAAGAGGAGTACACCACTTTGACCACATTGTCGGTTTTTAGATCCGGTTGGATTGGCCCCTCTATCCACTGCAAGGAGCTCAAGTCTCCTTTAACCTGAAGAATAGTTACTTAATCAGCTCTAGAAGACTTCTTCAAGATTCTGGAAGAGTTCTTTAAGAACTAGATCATGGTTTAATATTTTTTTGAAATTTTCATTGGTATTTGCGTACCTTTAAATTAGCGTAGGCATGGGGAATCGGAATTGGCTTCAATTCTGGGTAAGGAACATGTCTATATGTACCCCAGACTCTTCCTGGTCTCAAGACATTGTAACTAATGTCTATGTTAAGCTGTTTAACGTAGAATGGATCATTCAGTGAGAACTTGGGAGCATTTTTGTCCTGAATTATTACAGTCTTCACTATTTGTCCATTAGGCTCACGTCTCAAGCATTTCACCAAGCCTAGAACTCCATTTTCCATGTCTCCTTCTGCGACTAATACCAATCTTACCGTATCGTTACTGTTTTCATCTTTCTCATTTACTAAAGTTTGCTTCACCTTTTCGAGCCAGCTGAACTCATTATTCTTCACGTACACTACTTCTGTTCTCTGAGGAGGTTTCTCTTCTTTCTTCAACAACAATAACGTTTGATCGTTGAAACTTTTTTCTAATACAACGTTTAGTCCACATGCTTGGAAATAAGAGAAAGCTTCTTTGTCAACGATAGTTTCTCTCAGTAAAATGAATCCATGATCTTCAGTGGCAAGCAAAAGTTGCTTCAAAATATTCTGCCTCCTTCTTAACCAGATATCATAAGCAATTGCCATGAAAACACTTCCATCTTCTGGTAGTTTATTTGGTTTTACTATAGTGACGTTATCAGGGAGTGATAATTTTTCGCATCTTTCTGTTTCTGCTGCGAGAAACAATTTTGGACGAATCATTGGCAGATTTCCTAGCACTTTAATGAAGGTTGGCGTTAATGTTTCCTCAAGGAGTATTTTATCCTCAGGGTTGATCAGTTCAAGTATCTTTGGATTGGTTATTATGTGACTCTCTAAGGCAAGATGAGTAGACAATATGATCATGTCTTCCAGTGAAGTTTGAGCTCTATCGCGGTGCGGCACGAATTTGTATTCTTCTAAAATCGGGTCGGCTAATAGTTTTCGAGTCTGAATGGCGTTGGCTTTCAATCCGCGAATTTCGATTCCTCCGGATTTTATTATGCCGTAATCCTTATATACGAACACTGGGATCTCTGTAAAAGAAATCATTAATCTTACAGAAATGTGAATACTTTTGGAAGTAAAAAGTTAAGTAAAAATTTCAAAGAAACCTTCGAAAGTACTTTAATTGTACTTTTTGAAATTCATAAAAATAGCGCCACGTACCATTATCTTCGTCTGTAAGATTTCGAACTCTATTATTGTGAACCTTAACATCAATCACCAGCTTTTGTATCGCAGTTGGCACGTACAAAGCTCTGGTATCAATTCCCAGAAGCTGTATCTGCAACATATTATCCATAAACGCTACCCAGTTCTTTACCCAAGCGATACGTCCTCTCGTTCCACCGATAGAAGCACTTCTTAATCCACGGAACAATCCAGTGTATTCGTAACCACGAATTTTGAACTCTTTATAAATGTCCTTGGTATTCAGAGCTTCTTCATCTTCGATTGGTGTTAGGAACCTGGGCGGTATCGTCTCTTGTTCAGGATTTGTTGGCTCACGAATCATTCCTGTTACTACAGTCGTTGATCTCTCTGATATTTCGAATCTTCCAGTTCCTAGAAAATTATTCAATTGTAATCATAGTGTTGTAATTGAAATTGAACGAAAAATCTACCTCTGTGAATCATCACTGTCAGTAGAACATTGTCCTTAACAGGAATAGTGGTTGCTCGTTCGAATTTCACATCTTCAAAGACTACAGATATCTCGTCGTATAATTTTCCCTGCAATAAACTCATAGTTTCCCAGACCATAATCAGGTATCCTGTAGCAGGGACCAAATTCCTTCCATCGATCACATGGTGAATCATGAACTCGTAGTTCTCATCCTTTTGATCCACTTCGATTAGTCTTTCTGCTGTGGTGATTTTCTGACGCCGTGTGTAAACTGGTACGAACCAGTCATCAGAGTGTTGCCACCTGAAATACAATATTTTTAAATTTTTAAATTATTTTTTTTTTATTCATAATTTTATTTTATTC